CAATGGGCCCATTGTATAGCTGATGGTCCTTAGTGGGCCATCAAGCAGGCTAGGCAGAGCTAACACCATGTTGTCTGGGATGTCACCCAGCAGCATAGCCTAAGTTTGAAATGCAGATAGTATAGAGCCAATATTCCTAACTTCAACTACAAAATTGATACATACATATAGACAGCATAATCATAACCAGTAAACCATAACCTTGTCTTAGACACCCCATTTGACCCCCTTTACACAAGATCTGGGTGCCACTATAGGACCTTGGTTGCAACAATGATCTATATGGTCCCAGAGTATATCAATAACGTCACAGAAGTTGAAAATTCTACCTGGACAGATCCCATTTCATTGACCCTCTCTGTTTTGTACCGTAGGAGAAAAGGACCAAACATGTGTTTACAACTCTGGTAAGAAAGAATCTTTTTCTTTACAATTTTTGAAAATGATTTGCCCTTTGTATTGAAGTGCAGAGCCAAGAGCAACCCCACCAGGCAAACATGTCACAGGAAACCAGTTGAGAAATAAGTGGGTTTAACTGTAGGTTCTGTCTGTTTATCCAATTTCTCATATGTCCCTCATGACTAGTATCAGAGCATCTTCAGGTCTCAATGAATTCTAAGTGCAGTTGATTTCAGAAAAGAAAATGTGGGGAGAATTAGTCCTTAGAGCACTAAAGAGTCATCTTCAGTGTCCTGAACTATACTCTGAACACACATCCCCTAACGCAACATCACAAGTGTGTCTCCACATCCCTCCTCTCATAACTAGACACATTCTAGCCCCAGTGGAACTACATCCTCCCAAAGGACTAAACAGGACTATTTTACCAGAGCAGGTCAGAGAAATCTCAATGAAACATTTTCTTGTTGGAATTTGACAATAGGGCTGCCTAGGAATCATGGACCCCAGGACTTCCAGTGCCCCCAACCCCGGGAAAGCCTGCTTGGTGCACTGCCCCAGAGCTGACGCTCCCTTCCCTTGTGTGGAGAATTTCAAAATTTTTGGTTTTCATTTCAAATCAGAACAAAATGAAATTTTGAAATATCAAAATCCTCCACAAAATGAAATGGCCTTTCTCTGCCCAGCTCTACATTTCCCCCTAAAGTCAATAAAAAACCCCAAGAGAAATGGTGTTACTGGTCTTTGCGGCCAGTTTCCACAGACTCATGTCTTTATTACTCATAACTGGAATACACTTACGCAGCAGACAACAAGCTGCAAATCTGAACCTCTGGGACTGTCTTGGGGGAAACGTGCTCACCAGTGATTCATACCAAAGGAACAAGCAGGCTGAGGAGGGAGGAAGCAGGTGAAATCTCTGTCAGTGTGAAATAATTTCCTATCAATTCTTTGATCTGCTTTTTCCTATTAACAGCTACCAGAAGAGGCCTGGCCTTCCCAGTGAGCTGAGCTCTTCACTGTTTGGAGGATCCGTCATCCTGGTCCACGTTGCTGCTCTGAAGCTGTTTGCCAGTTTCTAAACTGTCCTATTTGTGTTACTCGCTTTTTCTCTCTAACACAAATCATGGTGATGGGACTTGCCAGATCCAAAGCCGTCCTGCTATGCTGACAGCGTTCCAACCAGGAACATAGGCGCCGACTTCCCCTTTGCCGGGTGGTGCTTGACGTCCCCCCTCTGACCCTGACCCCGCCCCGTCCCTGCCTCTTCCTGCCCCTGCACCACCCTCGCCCCGCCCCATTCCACCACTTCCCCAAAGTCCCCAGCCCCATTCCACCCTCTTCCCCCAAGTCCCCATCCCTGCCCCGCCTAGTCTCCACCTCCTCCCCTGAGCGTGCTGCATCCCCAGTTCTTCCCCTCCCTCCCGGAAAGTCGAAAGCACCACCAAACAGCTGTTAGGCGTCAGGGAGGCAGGAAGCACTGGGAGGTAGGTGGAGGAGCGGCGATGCAGCACGCTCAGGGGAGGAGGTGGGGAAGAGGCAGGCTGGGGGGAGCTTGGCTGCCAGTGGGTGCAGATCACCTATGACCAGGAACATTGGGGAGTGTCGCTGGTACCTGCTTGGGCAAGCTTTGATTATACATTACTGACTGGAAGATCAAAATGTAAGCTCATAGTATTATTCCAGGTAGGATTTGTTTTACAATGGTAGAGCTTTAAATGGGTGCATGTTAGATAAATAATTACTTATATTCCTGTCGTGCTAGCACTTTTTGTACCGACTTTTGATGACTTCAGTAAAAGACTTTTCAGAAATGAACTAAGTTGGAGTATTTTCATTCATACACTTGACGGATTAAATCTGTGTCTCGGCCAGGTGAATCTGTAACAGCGCAGTTTGTGGCATCCCATGTCTCTATCTCTCAGTCACTTTCATATCAAATTTGCTCAAAAGATGATATTTCTAACTGGTGAAATCAAAGGTCCAATTTTATATGCTCACTGGCTGTACTGGGATTGCACGGGGGCTAATCAGTAACAGCATGGAGGTAAGCCTGACCGCTACCATGGCAACTGACATATTCCAGCAAGGGGCAGGGCGTGTGTATGGATATTCTGAATAGCCAGATTGGGCCATCAGGAGTATACCAGAACTGGACACCGTATCAGTAATGGTCTCGCCAATGCTTTATATAGAGGTAGTACCACATCCCTGCTCCTATTCTATATTCCAGTCCCTTATCTTGTAAGTGTGAGCTACATCCTTTGTTCTGCGTTGTTTTAGATGTATCAAAATACCTGTTAATTAAATTAGCCCTCTTTACCAAATACCTAGATCACTCTGACCTGTATAACTGACTGCTTATATTTTGTTCCAGCTCTTTGATAAACATATTGAAAGCTACTTGGCCAAGAAGAGATCCCTACAGGACCCCACTACAAACACCCCATTGGATGTTGTGTGGGACTAGATCACATGCCGTACAGAAATGGAACTCTATTATGCCAAACCAGTTCTGCTGCCCTTGAGTCACACAACAAGGATAACAGGCCTTTAGTACGCCTGCCCCAATAACAACGTGACTTGTGAGCCAACACCAGCCAAAAGTGATCATTTGAGCAAAGCAATCCCATCATGCTGAGCACCTAGGCAGGGGGGGGTGCCCGTGGAAACAAGGTCGGCTCTTGAAGTCCTCTTCCCCAGCTCACCACTAGATGTCAGGGGAGAGCTCCTTCAGTGCTGCTTACAAAAACACACTCAGCCCCTGCATGGGATGGGAACTCAGATCCAACTCCAGCTCCAGCCCCATCACGTCCAGGCGTGGGGAGAAGAAATAGAGGGACACATACACAAACACACAGAGTCAGACGAGACGCCCCATCACGTGGGGAGAACAGACCCTCTTGGGAGAAGGGAGGCTGTGAGGAAACAGAGCAGGGAGATGAACCCTGAAGAGGAGGACAGAGATGGAGGAGGGACACATGGCCAGATGGGGGGTGACAGACCAACAGAAACGGTCTATAAATTACAGGCCCTTCTGCTATTTCGTACTTTGTGTCCATCCTGTCCAGAGGTCAGAGCTGCAAGGAAAGAGATGCAATCAGCAGGTTCTGCCATCAGGAATATCGCAGCCCCTCTCCCCCAGCCCACGCCGGGCACTGTGTGGCTGTGGGGAAGGAGGCTGCACAAGCCACTTACCCTGCTGGTTTGTGCCAAGCCACTACTAAGTGGGGATGTGCCGCTGAGCTGGGGGTCTGCTGACACTGCCTGGGTCCCAGGCCCAGCCGTGCAGTGGCTGGAGCAGCTCCCTGCTAGGTTTGCCCCAGACCCACTGCCCCAGGAAGAGGGGGCTCCCACTCTCCATTCTGGCCCATCCAGGGGATTTCATGGTGCTGCAGGGAGGAATCCCAGGGGATGGGGGAGTTCCCTGCTCCTGGGGCACCCTGAGGAGAGACCCATTGACAGCTCCTCTGGGGCCAGCTGCTCCAGAATGTGGCCAGGGCTGTTGGAGAACAGGTTGGAGAACACTTCAATCTCCCTGGACGCACAATAGCAGATTTAAAGGTAGCCATCCTGCAGCAAAAAAACTTCAGGACCAGACTTCAAAGAGAAACTGCTGAGCTTCAGTTCATTTGCAAATTTGACACCATCAGCTCAGGATTAAACAAAGACTGTGAATGGCTAACCAACTACAAAAGCAGTTTCTCCTCCCTTGGTGTTCACACCTCAACTGCTAGAAGAGGGCCTCATCCTCCCTGATTGAACTAATCTCGTTATCTCTAGACTGATTCTTGCCTGCATATTTATACCCGCCTCTGACGAAGTGAGTATTCACCCACGAAAGCTTATCCTCCAATACGTCTGTTAGTCTATAAGGTGCCACAGGACTCTTTGTCACTTCTTGCGGAGTAGATCAGCAAACCCCTTTCACGGTAAAATAGGAAACACCTCAGGCAGGAGGAGACAGGAGATCGCTGGCACTTCGCCCGCACTCCCCTTAGGCAGGGGAGACAGTCAGGGGATCGCCCGCACTCCCCTCAGGCAAGGGAGACAGTCAGGGGACACTTTGGATATGTCTTGTAATCTGTTAGCAGATTCAAGTACACCTGATTCCATGTGGAAGCAGAGGTCATGTTATTTCATTACACGAGAACACAATTTCTGTTAAAAGGATGTATGATATTGATAGTTCACAGCTAGTGCCTACAAACAATCTTAGCACTTTTCACAGCAGAAAAACCACTCTGACAATAAGGAAGTTTTCATTTCATATTTCCATTCTTTATAGAGTCCCATAACTGCTGTTCTGTTTTGCCTGGAATCAGCGTCAAAGCCAGGCCTATATTGCAATTACTTGGATCATCCCGTTTACCCTTTTTAAACTAGCAGTCTATAAACAGGTTCCTAAGGGAAGTGATGGAAACCACATGCCTGGGGCCATTTAACAATGGAGGAAAAGAGCACTGGAAAATATAGGGAACAAAATAAAATAGTTCAGGAAACAATTCTGCATAGTGCCTTGGGAATGGACTGGATGGAATATCCTCGCATGGTTCCAGCTCCCCTAGCAATGATGTTATGCAAAAGCCCCTCACTTCGGTTGGTATATGTAGGGTTAAGTAGAGACCTGGGAAACTGCTGGTGTGCTGACATGGTATTAGGGGGCAGAAACACGGGCATGCACTGTTTCTGCGCTTGATAGATAAAGTGTTACCCCTCTCCCTTCCCTTCTGCTTGTTAGGGATTGATAAGCGCTGCAGCTGCATAAGGACTGTGGTTGTTTAAAGGATCCCCTTTGTGCAAAGAGGTGTTATCTCCCCCTCTTCCTTTCCCAGCTATATAAATGAGATCGGGGTCATGGCCCCTTCCTCCCTTCCCTGAGAACTGCTGACCAAGGGAATTTGTAATTACTGCAAAAAAATGTATCTTCAAGGTAAAATTGTCTGTAGAATATGCTCAATGCTGTAAACAGTAAACGGGCAGGGATAATTATATTGGTATATAGTTATTAATATTCATTGTATGGGCATTCATATTACTCAGTAAGGGCTTGGGGGGTGTTGTAGTAAAGGTAGGTATTTACATACTAACTCAGATAAAAAGAGTGTGCTGTAACTAATTCAGTGCTTACTCGACAATTGGGTCGAGGGGAACAAGTACCGCAATAAAGAAGCCCGTTTACTCAATCCGCCTCTGGGTCAGCCTGCTCATTTTCTAACAGCTACCGGGCAGCTGAACTCTGCCTAACCCTCTACCTTCGGAAAGGAGATACAATCTAGGTTAGTAGGACAGATCTGTGGCTAGCCAAGTGTAGAAATACCGTGGGAATGTATGCGCAACTGTGCATAGGACAGAAACTTTCTGTACCTTAGGGCTCAGATGTAATAGGTTAAGCAGGGGTGCAGAGGAAGTGCAGATCACACACTTAAATGACAGAAGTCTTTGGTTTCTCCGTTCCCTTCCTGTGCATTGTGACAAACAAATTCTGTATCTTGTGGCTGAGATGTCGAGATATGAAAACTTTTAAGCAGTTTCCAGGTTCTCGACTGAACGAATATCTCCTGGGAGATTCACACCATCCCATGATCCTCTACTGTTACTTCTGTTAGTTACTCGAGACTTTGTTTTCTTCCCCTAGAGCAAACATTTCGCTCCTAGCACAGAGGTGTCCCAGTTCTGCAAGCTAGTTCTGTCAAAACCAGTGTTGCTGTCTGTTCACACCTAACTTTGCAAAGAGAAATGATGCAACAAATTCTGTGAAGTGTCTCTGCAACAGCCTCTTCATTCGCTGCCGCCTCCCTGCGTCTCGGACTCCTGTCACACAGGTGTGCCTGTAGCCTGACGTTCAGCCAGCAGAGAACGTTGGATCTTTGAAATGGTTTAGAAGAAAAGAACGGTTGCTTATCTTACAGTTACTGTGGTTCTTTGACTCTTTGTCTGTGTCAGGCACTGCTTCCTGGTAGCAAGTGTAAGGGCCACTGGCCTGGAAAATGGGCTGCTGAAATGAAATGACCTTTTGCCTTAATGTATAAGCTGGGTGGCAAAGGAGGTAAGTGATGGAGAAAGTCTAGCCTAGTGGCTGCAGTGGAGGTCATAAGAACAGCCACACTGGGTCAGACCAAAGGTCCATCTAGCCCAGTGTCCTGGCTTCTGACAGTGGCCAGTGCCAGGTGCCCCAGAGGGAATGAACAGGACAGGTAATCATCAAGTGATCCATCCCCTGTCCCCCATTCCCAGCTTCTGGCAAACAGAGTCTTTGTCTTGTGAAAATGGCTTTAGGTTGGACATGAGGAAAAACTTCCTAATTGTCAGGATGGGTAAGCACTGGAATAA